TGCAGATTCATTGTTATTCATCAGGGTTGCACACTATTACATTGTGTGTATGTACCAAAGTTTGTTCCTCCATTCCTCTGCTGATGGGTATCTAGGCTGCCTCCATCTTTTCACTATTGTGAATAATGCTGTAATGAACATAGATGTGCATGTATCTATTCATACCACAGCTCTTATTTCTTGAGGATATGTACCAAGTAGAGAGATGGTCGGATCATACAGATTTCTATTTCCAACCTCTGAAAAAATGCCATATCCTTTCCCACAGCAGTTGCATCATTTTACAGTCCCACCAGCAGCATAGGGTCCCATACTCTTCACACCCTCTCCAACTATACTTGTTTTCTGTGTGTTTTTTAAAGTTTGCTATTAATGCTAGGATTCCTGGTGTGGCAATGAAAGATCAGCACTAGACTGTGAAACCAGAAGGTCAGCAGTTCAAACCCACCAGTTAGTTGATCCTCGGAAACCCTATACAGCACCATAATGAGTCAGAACCAACTCGACGGCACTTAACAACAATAACAGCTAATTACAGTGAACATTTCTTCATGTTTGTCGGCAGCCTGAATGTCTTCTGTGGTGGTCTGTTCATATCATTTGCCCATTTTTTAACTGATTATTCACCTTCTTATTGAGGTGTTGAAGTGTTTTATGCATTTTAGACATAGCCTCTTGACTGATATGTCATTGCAAAAAAAAAATTTCCCAGTCTGTGGGTTCTCTTTTTACTCTTTTGGTGAAATCATTTGATGCACATAAATGTCTAATTTTTAGGAGGTCCCAGTTATCTCCCACTGTTTGTTTTTTCCAGTTATGTTTGATAGTGTATTTATGCCATGTATCAGAGCCCCTAAGTTTGTCTCTATTTTTTCATTAATGCTCTTTATAGTTCTAGGTTTTACATTTAGATCTTTAATCTATGTTGAGTTCGTTTTTGTATCTAGTGTGAGATATGGGTCTTGTTTCATTCTTCTGCAGACAGAGTTCCAGATGTGCTAGCACTGTTTGTTAAAGAGACCAACACTATCCCCATTTAATGTGTTTTTGGCCCTTTGTCTGACTGTAGGTGGATGAATTTACTTCTGTGTTCTCAATTCTATTCCATTTATCTGTGTGCATTTCGTGGAACCAGTACCCGTCTGTTTTGATTAGCTGTATAGTAGGTTTTGATATTGGGAAGTGAGACGCCTCCTACTTTGTTCTTTTTTTTTAGTACACTTTGCTATCTTGGTTCTCTTTCCTTTCTATATATATTTGTGAATATTTTTTCCATCTCTTTAAAGAATGATGTTGGAACCTAGATTGATATTGCATTATATATGTATATTGCTTTAGGCAGTGTTGACATTTTCACAAGCTGGTGATCTTGTTTATAAACCTTCACACCTTCACTCAATTAACAATAAAGAGTTAAAACAAAGAAAAACTGTTGATTGACACATTTTGTTATATATATATATATATATATATATATATAACAAAATGTGTCAATATATATATATATATATATGTAAAGGAGTCCTTGTGTCCTTGTGTGTTGTTGTGGGCTAATGCTTCAGACTGCAAAGTTGTTTGAACTGCAAGGTTGGTGGTTCAAGCTCACCAGCTGCTCCTTGGAAACTCTATACAGGGTCTCTATGGGTCAGAATCGACTTGACGGCACTTAACAACAACAACATATATCTATCTATCTATCTATATCTATCCATCTATCTATATAGATATAGATAGATAGATAGATACAAAAATTGTCAATTTACCATTTTTCTTTTACTTTTTACTTCTGAGTTTTATATATATATTTAGAGAGAGAGAGAGAGGGGGATGATAGCGTATTGGATTATGAACTGGGCTGCTAACCTCAAGGTCAGAGGTTCGAATCTCCCAGCCACTCCATGGGAGAAAGATGAGGCTTTCTGCTCCTATAAAGATTCACAGCCTTGGAAACCTATACAAGGTCACTATGAGTTAGAAATGACTTGGTGGCACACCATAAATATATTGATGGTGGTTATATACCATGGAGTCAGTTCTGACTCACAGTGATCCTGTATAGAGTTTCTGAGGCTGTAAACCTTTACAGGAGCAGTAAGCCTCATCTTTCTCTCATGGAAATTCTGGTAGTTTCAAACTACCGACCTTGAGTTTAGTATCCCTGATAACCACTACACTACCAGAGCTCCTTCATATATATATATATTAATAATTAATAAAAGAAGAAGACCATGAGGGGGTGAGGGAAGCCACAGAAAGGCATGGAACCACAGAGGAGTTGCCTGACAGAAACCAAAGTCAGAAGGAACACCCAAGCCAGGCTGGGCTCTGCAGTGAGTTCCTGGCTGTAGATGGCTGTTTCTAGGACTGGGGGCAAATCCCAAATCCCTTCAAGAAAGAGAGACAGAAGAGACGGAGAGGGAGGGCAAATGCTGACTGGTCTGTCTCCCTTGGCTAGCTTCCCAACCCAACTGTAGGGAGAGCAGGGAAGGGCCACTTTCCAGAAAAGTAGATTTACAAAGGCATTCTTGTGTTAGAAAAAGGAGCCTCAGGCAGAGAGATCAAAGTTCCTTTCTGCTCCATCAGTTGCCAGGCCCCCACCCAGTGTAGGCTTAGGGCACTGTTGAAGGACAAGAGCTGACACAATGGGTGCAGCCTGGGCCAGGTAATTGGCAAAACCAGGGACTAAGTCCTGCTCTCGATGGATGCCCTGCACATCGGAGAAATGAGAACCGTTTCATTTGGACTCATCCTTCTCTCCAGGAAAATTTTAAAGAAGAACAATAACAAATGAATACTAGTAGGAAAAGCATAAACTTTGGAGTCAGACAAAACAGTTCAAATCCTGGCTTTCCCTTTTCTTAGCTGTGTACTATCTGTGGCACTTAGTAAAATTCGGTGGCCCTTTGTGCCCTCATCTGTCCCTAGAAAACAAAGCAGCCTTCAGATTAAATGGACCAGTATAGATAAAGCATTAAAGCAGGGCTAGACACTAGGTTAAATGCAAAATATCTGTACTTATTGCAGGACAGCTGGCACTGTATTATTGTTTTGGTGGCAGTTAAGGTAGATACTGACCAAACCAAATTAATATTCCTTTTGTGTGGTTGCCTGCAATGGAGTTGGTCCCGACTCACAGCCATCAGTATAGGGTTTCTGAAGCTGTAAATCTTTACTGGAGCATAAAGTATCATCTTTCTTCCAGGGAGTAGCTGGTAGATTCAAACAGCATCCCACTACACTTCCAGGGCTCCTAATAGTCCTTTTAAGAATCATTTAATTTTGGTTCACATTCCTGTTTTAAACTGTCAACTCTCAACTGACTATTCTAATGGAGGAAGACCGGGAGCATCGATAGCCAATCCCAAAGCCATTGGAATTTAGCCTTGTATATGTTGTAAGGTATTTTTGTTTTCCTAGTTATAACACAGAAAGAAATCAAGAGTCTCTGAGCACTCATAGGTTGGTAATACAGGGAGGAAGTACTGTTGTGAAGACTGAAAAGCTGAGAAAATGTGATCTAGAATTAAATCTTTGATTATCAAAAACACAAAAAGTACATAACCCACATATGATTAATAGCATGTAACCTGCATCTTCTTTTTTTCTTTCCAGTACTATCAACTTTTCTCCTCCTTACTGCAATGCATCCAGAGTAGTAATACCCTTAGAGAACAATAAGGATTTACCACCAATCTACCTGACAGATGCTAGGTACCTGCATGCTGTACACTGGATTGATGCTCCATGCAAGTCAACAGATGGCTATGGCTTAAGCCCTTGATTGGTATTTCCCACACTTGTCTGATGAATGAAATCACCTGGACACTTGTTAAAAATGTAGATTGCCAGAATCTCTCCTATTCCCAATTCTGATCTCATAGATCTAGGGTTGGGAGGTCTTGATATGTCGCTGTAGAATAAGCACTGGACCACAAGGCCTGTTTGAATTGCAAGGTTGGCGGTTCAAATTCACCAGTCGCTTCTTGGAAACCCTATAATATAGGGTCGCTATGAGTTAGAGTTCTGGTAGTGTAGTGGTTACGAATTGGGCTGCGAACCACAAGGTCAGCAGTTCAAAACTACCAGCTGTTCCAAGGAAGAAAGATGAGGCTTTCTGCACCCGTAAATATTTACAGCTTTGGAAAACATGTACAGGGTCACTATGAGTTGGAATCAACTCCACGGCACATAACAACAACAACATGAGTCAGAACTGACTCGATGGCACCTAACAACAACAAAAAAACGGCTAATTATAGTGACCATTTCTTCATGTTTGCTGGCAGCCTAAATGTCTTCTTTGGTGGTCTGTTCATATCATCTGCCCATTTTTAAACTGATTATCTTCTTATTGAAGTGTTGAAGTGTTTTATAAATGTCGAGGGCATTTAACAACAAAAGGGCTGGGGAGAGAATCTGTTTTTAATATGACACATTATGAGATTAGGGTGAGGCAGGGAGGCACTGACTGGGGATGCCAAATTTGTGGGGGTGCCAAAAGACTGAGTAATGAAGATCAGTAACAGTTTAATACAAAAACTGCAAAAAATTTATGCAAAACAATCCATGAAGAATAAACTATCAAAATTTTAAATAAAGATAGAATCAGTAATAGAGTTGTGACATACTGAAGCCTGAAGCAATAGGAAAACCAGCAATCTTGATGGCCTCACCCTAGTTAGTCCCAGCCCTGATTCTTATCATCAGACAAGTTCAGGAAATTCTGCCTTGAATAATTAGACTTCCAGTTCCTCTCTTTCTTGGGAGTCTAAACCTTACCTTTCCAATTTCTTAAATAATGGCTCCTAATTACTGGTCCTTGAGGAAGGCTGAGCTGGAAGACATCCAAACCTCTGAAGGCAGGGCTTGGAAAGCCAAAACTACTCAAGTGATTTCTGACACACAGCCAAGCTTGAGGACCACTGCCTCATAGAGCCTCAGCTCAGCCTAGGGAAAGGCATAGGACCAAGAGTTTACTGAGCTCACTATCCATTCCTTACCTTCTCTGTGTCAATGCCTCTGGACATGGACCAGGTGGACACAATATAATCCATGACTCGCTCACTCAGTCCTTTTGGCACCTGGTACAACTTCAGGAAGTCCCGAACACTGTTGAGCATCTCATGGTATCTGTTGGTGTTGGCATACATCTGCTGGAAAATGGTTGTGACATTCCCAAAGATGGTGGCATAGAGGAGTGCTAGAGGTGAGGAAGAGGAGGAGAAACAACAGGAGTCAGGGTCCAAGCACTCAATTTGTTTAGAACAGACTGATGACTACTGCTGTCCCACCCCAAGACAGACTGTCCTGATTCATAGCAGAAGAAAGTCTTCTAACAGCAGACCTTGAAAATAAACCTATGGGGGGTAACACTAGTGTGGATGTGAGCAGGAAAGTCTGGGACTAAAGCTAGAAGACAGAAATAAAGAAAACAGATGTTTTGATTCACTTAACACTGCACAATACAAATTTGAACCATTCCTGAGACTGTCAGTTAAATGTGGCCCTATGTGGACTTCTGGTGTGGCGCTGTGGGTCAGCATTGGACTTCAGTCCCACCAGCTGCTCCTCAGAAAACCTATACAGGGTCATTATGAGGCAGAAATGACTCGACAGCACTTAACAACAACAATACGCTCCATGCCTATCCAAATCCAAAAACCCAACTCCAAACCCTATGCTGTCAAATTGATTCCACTCATAATGACCCTACAGGAGAGAAGAGAACTGCCCCATATGGTTTCCAAGTCTCTTTTCTTTACAGAGCAGATGGTTACATCTGTCTTCTGAGGAGTGGCTGGTGAGTTTGAATCACAAATCTTTCAGTCATGTACTTAACCACTATACCACCAGCTATGATCTTCTCCAAGCCCTGCTATGCACCAATGTGGCACTGGTCATCCAGTGGTAAAATTCTCACCTTCCATGTGGAAGACCTAGGCTCAATCCCCAGCTCTTGCTCCTCCATACACAGTGACCACCCAGTTGTCAATAGAGGTTTCAGTATTGTTCCCAGATGAAGACAGATTATGAAGAAAAACGTGATGATAAATTTGCCAAACTCAGCCTCTGGATGACAATAGTCCAATCTGCAGCCCATCATGGCGATGGCCCCAGACCGAGACACGCTTTGTTACATTGTGCATGGGGTCTCCATGAGTAAGAGGTTAACTCAAAGGAAGCTAATTGACAACAAGGACAAGCTACCTGCTGGGGAGAGGGTGGTAAATAAGACATTCAAGTTCTGGTCCTCGTGGAGCAAATAATGCTGTGCGAGGTACAGACCTTGAATAGAGATGCACAAAGACTGAAACAATAGCAAGTCTGCAGAGTGCCGTGAAGGGTGTTACATCCTTGTTTCTCATTCATTGTCAAGGTGCCTGCCAATACAGTAATGGTATGTGGCGCCTGGGGAAAAAGTATAGCTTTGATGTGACATGAATAAACTCAAGACCTCAGTGAGATGCAGCAATTATGTACTACATGCTGAGACTCATCCCCTGACACTAGTATCCTGATGGACTACTACTATGTTCACAAAGCTCCACCTTTCCCTCCAACTCCTATTTGCCCTTGAATGCTGAGGGCAAGCACTGCCTCTTCCGGGAAGTCTTCTTGGTACCCTCTTCTCCATCTATCACCAAGATGGTGACTATGACCTACCAGAAATATTTGTAAAATAGCTCACACGATACCACACTGCAATAGGTGCTTCTTTCTCTGCCTGTATGAGTTACTTGAGGACTGGATCCATCTTCTCCTTGTCATTGTATCTACTGGTATTTAGGACTATACCAGTGCCCAAAAATGTTGGTAAACCCAGTGAATAACATGTATTTTTTTTGTTGTTCTGTATTTTTTTTAAAATTCTGTCATTGTTGAAATACAATGAACTGTACATACTTAAAGTGTACAATTGGATACAATTTGATATGTATACAAGAGGACTTCAAAAATTTCATGGAAAAATTCCATTATCTTTGAACTCCATTTTTTGAAGTCCCCTCATATATATTCATGGAGTCCTGGTGTGGTGCTGCAGGTTAATGTGCTGGACTGCAAGATTGGTTTGAACTGCAAGGTCGGTAGTTCAAGCTCACCAGCCACTCCTCAGAAACCCTATACAGGGTCGCTATGAGTCAGAACTGACTTGACAGCACTTAACAACAACATATCCATAATATCATCATCACAATATAAATAGTGAGCACATCCATCACCCCAAAAAGTTTACTCATGCTTCTTCATGATCCTTTTCTCCCACCAATTTCCTCTTCACCCTCCCACCCCTCAGCAACCAAGGGTCTCCTTTCTGTCACCATTTTCGAGAATTATATATATGGAATCATATAGGATGTAGTCTTTTTTAAGTATCTTTATTAAAATGCACATATCATAAAATTTATCTATAGTGTACCATTCGGTGGTGTTTAGTACTTTCAGAACAGTATAACTATCACCACAAACTAAGTTTAGAATATTTCATCTGCCCTAAAAGGAACCTTGTGTCCATTTGCAGTCACTGTATCTTCCAACACACCAGACCCGGGCAACCATTAAGGTACTTTCTGCCTCTGTATAGATTTGTCTATTCGGGCATTAGAGACATATGAAATCATATAACATGTGGTATATTGTGACTGACTTCGTTCACGTAGAATAATGTTTGTCAAGGTTCAGCCATACTGTAGCATGCATCAATACTGCATTCCTTTCTGTTGTTGATTAATATTCCATGGTTCTTATTGTTAGAAGCCATCAAGTCAGTTCTGACTCATAGCCACCGTATATTGGGTTTCCAAAGCAGTAAATCTTCATGGGAGCAGAAAGTCTCATCTTTCTTTTAAGGGGCAGCTGAGGGGTTTGAACTGCCGACTTTGTGATTAGCAGTCCAGTGCTTATCCTACAACACCTCCAGTGTGCCAATATTCCATTGTTGTTGTTAAATGTTGTTGAATTGGTTCCCATTCATAGCTACCCCACAGAGGGTTTTCGAGGAGCAACTGGTAGGTATAAACAACTGACCTTGTGGTTTGCAGTCCAGTGCTGATCCTACAATGCTGATGCATTGTTGTTGGTGTTAAGTGCCGTTAAGTCGTTTCTGACCCACTGCAACTCTGTGTAGAGTTTCCAAGGAGTGGCTGGTGAGCTTGAACGACTTTGTGGTTCAAATTTGACTTTGCAGTCCAATGCATTACCCCACAGCACCACACCAGGACTCCAACACACCACTGTTGCTGTGTATAGTTTCATCAAGTCAGTTCTGATCCATAGCAACTCTGTATAGGGTTTCTGAGAAGCTGTTGGTGAGCTTGAACGGCCGACCTTGATTAGTATAAGGATGTTAAGGATCCTCAGTGGTACAATGACTAAGTACTTGGCTGCTGAAGAAAAGCTTGGTGATTTGAACCCATCAGTCACTCCTCAATAGAAAAGACCTGGTGATGTGCTCCTGTAAGGATTACAGCCTAGGGGACAGTTGTACCCTGTACTATAGGCTTGACATAAGTTGGACTCAGTTTACAATATAGAGATATTACACATTTTCTATATGCAGTCATCAGTTGATACTGTTGTTCTTAGGTGCCATCATAACGACCTTATGCACAGCAAAATGAAACACTGACCGATCCTGGGCCAATCTCACCATCGTTGCCTCGCTTGAGCCCATTGATGCTGCCACTCTGCCAATCCATCTCGTTAGGGGTCTTCCTGTTTTTCTCTGACCCTCCACCTTACCAAACATGATATCCTTCTCCAGCGACTGGTACCTCCTGACAATATGTATGAAGTATGAGAGACGAAGTTTGACCATCTTGGCCTCCAAGGAGCACTCTGGCTGCACTTCTTCCAAAACATATCTGTTTGTTCTTTTGGCAGTCCATGGCACTTTCAATATTCTCCTCCAACATCATATCTCAAAAGCATCAATTCTTCTACGGTCTTCCTTATTCACTGTCCAGCTTTCACATGCATATGAGGTTATTGAAAATACCATGGCTTGGGTCAGGCACACCTTAGTCCTCAAGCTGACATCTTTGCACTCCCCACTCACTAATAATGTTGACATCTTTATATTGTTTTTACTGATCGTTAGTACACCTTCTTTGAGAAGTTTCTATTCAAAGCCTTTGTTGATTTCTAGTTGGATTTCTTTATTGAGGTGAGTTTTGTCCTGTATCCTGCATGCACATCCATTATCCCATATAAGTCCATCAGTTGATGGACACAGATTATTTCCACTTTGGGGCTATTACAAATAATGCTGCTATGGGCACTTTTATACAAGTTCTTATGTGAACATTTGGTTTCCATTCTCTTGGGTATATAACTAGAATTGGAATTGCTGAGTCACATAGTAACTCTGAGTTTAATATTTTGAAACTGCCAAACTGTTTTCCAAAGTGGCTGCACCATTTTACATTCTACCAGAAGTGTAAGAGGATTCCAAAGATTTTACATCCTCATTAACACTTGTTCTTGTCTTTCTGATTACTGCCGTGCTAGCGAGTGTGACAAATATGTCTTGGAGGAAGTACAGTCAGAATGTACTTTGGGCATGTTATCAGGAGGGACCAGTCCCTGGAAAAGGACATAAGAAGACCCTCAATGAGATAGATTGACACAGTTCCTGCAACAGTGGGGTCTAACATAACAGCAATTGTGAGGATGGCATAGGACAGGGCAGTGTTTTGTCATCGTCCTGTGTTACATGAGTGGGAACTGACGCGATGGCACCAAGCAAGCCAACAGTGAGTGCAAACAGCTATCTCATTGTAGTTTTGATTTGCACTCCCTGCTCAATAATAATGTTGACATCTCTTCATTGTGCTTACTGATTGTTAGTATACCTTCTTTGAGAAATCTCTATTCAAAGCCTTTGCCCATTTCTAGTTGAATCAACAGTCTTTCTTTATTGAGGTATGAGTTTTGTCTTGTTAACTGCGTGCACATCCATTATCCCATAAATGATTTGCAAATACTTTTTCCCATCCTATGGACTGTCTTTTCACTTGCTTTATAGAATCCTTTGCAATGCAAGTTTCAGGTTTGATTCAGGCCAATGTACGCAATTTTTCTTTTCATACTCTTATTTTTTGGCTGGCTTCTTTCACTCTTCATCATTGTTTTACAATTCATCTATGTTGCTACATGTATCAATAATCTATTCCTTAAATTAAAAGAAAATTTGAAATGTGA